CCCGCCTCCCCACCCCCTCCACAACCTGCCCTTTCAAGCACAACTCGGCCCCTTCTCTGCTCTCCTCAAGCCACCCCGTCATCGCACCTGGTCCAGACAGGCCAGCAGCGACTTGCTGATGAGCTCTGTGATTATGAACCCTATCACGCTGCCCTCCCCGTTTACCCCACCCAACCCCATCCAACCGCACATGCCGTTTAAGCACAACCCTCCTGGTCTTCTTCCCCCACCTGGCAGTGACTTGTTAATGAGCCCTATCACCCTGCTCCCCCTGTCTTCCCAGCCTCAAGTCCCCACCTGCTCTTACAACACCGCTTAGCACCTCCTCTTCTGCAGACTGCAACAACCCGGAAATCGCACCTGGTCGAGGTGAGCCAGCAGCGACTTGTCGATGAGCTCTGTGATTATGAACCCTATCATGCTGCTCTCCTTGTCGTCCCAGCCCCTATCCCCACCGCCCCACGCGTCTAACAGCACAGGCTAGCTTACCACCTGCCCCCCTCTTCCCCATCTGGTCGATGTAAGCCAACAGCGACTTGTTTGATGAGATCTGTGATTACAATCACGCTGCCCTCCCCGTCGTCCCAACCCCCATCCCCACTGCCAGCACAGCTTGCCACCTGCACTTCCAACAGCACAGGCTAGGCTACCACCTGACCCCCTCTCCGCTCCGCACCTGGTCCAGGTAGGCCAGCAGCGACTTGTTGATGAGCTCTGTGATGATGAACCCTATCACACGCGAGCGGCCCAGGAACCGCAGCACCACTGCCTTATCGACCTGCAAGGGGAGGGGAGCAGTGGGAGGGAGGACAGCAGGTAGGGTGAGGAAGCTGTCAATGCAAGCGAGAGGAGGATAAAGGGGGGAAGGCAGGGTTGAGGGGCAGGGAGATCAGAGTGGTGGTGAGGGGGGGAGTATGGGCCAAGACGTAGTGAAGACTGGCGTTCTGGATGACGGGGGAATGCAGTTTGCGGGGAGAGGTGGAGACATTTCCTTAGTTGGTAAGGATGCCAGTCGAGCAGCATGCGGCTCGAATCCGAGGGAGTGGGGGATTGGGGGGCAGAGGCAGGGGCGGGGTGTGTGTGAGGGGTGGGGAGTGTTGGGGGGGGGGGGGGTGGGGGTGTGGCAAATCGATAAGGATTTCAGAGGAGCGGTCTTAGGGAGGGGGGAAACTGGGGAAGAGTGAGAACACGCAATGGGTGGGCAGGAGGGGCAGGATTGGGACGCGGCGCAGATGAGCTCCTTTAAAGGCGCCTTAGATGGACAGACAGAAGGAACACATACGAAGGAATTCGCCATAGACACTAGTCGCTATGCCATGAAAATTGACGAGAAAGGATAAGAAGAGACTGATGTGGAGGATTAGTTCCAGCAGCGGTTGTGTGTGAAAGTGGGAATGTGCCCTGGAAAAAAAAGAAAAAAGAAAAAGAAAAAGAAGATAGTACACTCACCCCGGCCTGTTTCCCTGTTGGTTGTTTGCAGCAGGCACACAAAGCGAGCAGACAAGGAGAGAGGGGCGAAAAAGAAGAGCAGCCCATGAGACAAAAGGCTGGATTGGATACGTCTCAAAGGCAACGCAAGTCAACGCAAGGGGCAATGAGAAGGCCACATAACACGCGGAGAAAGGAGAGAATAGCATGCTAAGAAACACATCGTGGACATTCAACCATAGACTAGGATCATCATTACTCAGTCTTCCATCTCCTAGCCTTACCAGTGCTCGTTCTCCCATTCCTCTAAGCCAGGCGGTTATGTAGAGTAGCCCCTTCCCATGCACAAATAGACCACGGCCCCATGTGCAAGCCCCCAATCCCATTCTCTCTTTATGGACTCCTTCCGACCCACGTTTCTTGCTGAACCGACGCACTTTCCGAGGCTGCCTCCCCTTCCAAACCCACACCCATTTCCGAGCCTACCTCCCTTGCCGAGCCTAGCCCCAGGCAGGGGCGGGCACTCCTTGGCTAGCGAGCGCAGCGTGCCGTCAAAGAGCGTGGCCGTCTCACTGCCCGCCACGTCCACACGCACCTGAGGGGAGCAAAGGAGGGGAGAGGGAGAGGCAGACACAGGGAGAGGGGGGGAAGGAAATGGGAAAGGGGGAAAGGGGGGATGCAGGCACTCCTGGGCTAGCGAGCACAGTGTGCCATCAAAGAGCATGGCCGTCTCACTGGCCGTCTCACTGCCTTTCTCACGTCCACACGCACCTGAGGTGAGGCTGAAGAGAAAGAGGACAAGGCGGGGGAGCGGAGGGGTGGCGAGAGAGAGAGAGGGGGGTTCTTCCCACTGGCGGTCGAGAATTACGGCTGCCCCTGCGCCGAAGTCCCCACCTTCTTGAAACTGCTGGCGGACACAGGAGCCAGGAGGCTCTTCAATGCCGACCCCAGCTCCTACCAGGCAGCAAAACTGCTCCACCAGTTCCGCCAGCGCTGGTCTGTGACACTCCAGCGGGCGCAGGCCTTGGCTTACCTGGGCAAGGTTAACGAAGCCTCCCCGGCCCCCCACACCCCCGTGGGCACACCCGACGCCGACATGGCTCTCGGGGACTGCTTTGCTGTAGCAGAGCCCCTAGGGGAGCTTGAGTAGTTCCGGGCACTCCCAACATGCACGTACCTCTCCCTTGTTGTCTCCCGCATGTCTAGCCTGTACCTCGGATTCCAAGGAATAAACGGACCGCTTGAGAGGGGGGGGTTGGAGGGGATGTGATGAGGGGGTTGCAATGGGGGAGGGAGCGGTTCCCTCTGAAAAAGGCGAGTGCTGGGAGGGGGGGGGATGATGCCAATCCGGTCCTAGCACGGCAATGCCCACTTCCATGGGGGACAAGGTGGCTGTTTCCACGTGGAGGGAAGGGGGGTGGGAGAAGGGGAGTGGGGGGGGGGTGGGAGGAGCGGGGATGGGAGGGGAAGGGGGGAGGGGAGGGGAGGGGAGGAGGAAGCGGGGGGTGGGGAGAGGAGGGGGGGAGAGGGGAGGGGTTTGGGGAGGGAGGGAGTGGGAGCATATGCCCGTGATCCTGCTGCTGTAATGGCTTTTGAATAGGTGACTAGTACTTACTCGAAGCTCACGACATCACCATGCCCCACATACTGTGATGCTGCTGTCTGTCTGCCATGGCTTCAGTGGTGAAGTTCACCGCTGGCCTCCCCTTCATGCTGCTGCTAGCCTGCTACTGCAGCTACTGCTCCTGCTGCTGCTGGCTTTGCTGCCCTTGGGCACCCTGGTAGAGGCTTTGCCAACTTACCCTCAGCAGTAACCTTGCCATACCACACGTACCGTGATGCTGCCGTCTGTCATGGCTTCAGTGGTGAAATCCACTGCTGGCCTCCCCTTCATGCTGCTGCTCTCCTTTTTAACCTTGGTAGCCTTTGGAGCCTTTGCTGCTGCCTTGCCCTCAGCATCCCCAGCCTCTCCAGCAGCAACAGCGGGTGTGTCCGAGTCAGATGCAGGCTTCTTGGCTTTCTTGAAGTTCTTTTTCGGCCCGCCTTTGGCTGCTAGCACCGGCACCACAGCCGCAGCAGATAGCGCGGCAGCAGCAGAGGGGGGAGCTGAGCTGGCGTGCAGGAAAGGAGAGAAGCACGCTGGGGAAGGCGGTTGGGGAGGGGGGAAGGAGGGAGAGGGGGAAAGAGAGGATGGAAAGGAGGGTGAGGAAGAGAGGTCTGTAGGGAGGGAGGGAGGGAGGGAGGGAGGGGGGGGTGAAAAGCGATAAAAGGTGGAACAAGATGACAGAGGTGTTACAATCACAGCAGCGGCGGCAGCAGAGGGGGGTAGCTGAGCTGGTGTGTAGGAGAGGAGAGAAGGATGTTGGGGAAGGAGAGGTTGGGGAGGGGGGGGAAAGAGAGGATGGAAGGGAGGGTGAGAAAGAGAGGTTTGAAGGGAGGGAGGGAGGGAGGGAGGGGCTGAGAGAAACGATGGGAGGTGGAACAATGTGGGAGCGGCAGAGGTGTTACAGCAACGGTACACCGGCAGAAGTGGACGAGGAGGAGGCGGAAGTCAGCGATACAACGCGCGGGAGTAGTCCCGGCCCGGTCCATTCAAGGCGGGAGTCATGACAAACGCGTGAGCGCAGCTTGTGAAACATGTGCAACGTGTGTCGGTGGTGGTACAGCAAAGCAAAATCAGGGGACCAAAAGCACGGCGTGACGTGAAGGAAGTGGTGACAGAAGCACGGTACAAGACGGGTGTTATGACACGCGCAAAACACGTGACTGGTGCTACAACAACAGCAACGGAGCACTGTACCTGTGTGAGAGTGAGCAGCAGAGAGCCATGAGAACGAGGCATCCCTGTGTGTGGAAATAGGCTGCTGGAAAGTGTAAGGTAGGTAGGGAGAGGTGGCAGGGCAGGGAAGGGGCACGCAGGGGAGGAGAGGGGGCGGGGGGGGGGCGGAGGGGGGGGGGGGGGGGGAGGAGAGGAAATGAGGGTGAGAGAGAGGGGGAATGAGGTTGGGAGGCGCAAGGCACCAGAGCACGAGAAATGGAGTCAGGAGGTCGCAAGAGGGGAAGGGATACGGCAATGAGAGAGGAGGGAGAGATAAAGGACGTGAGAGAGAGGAGAAGCATATCCGGCAAATGATATCAACCCCCGTGTGGACGACACGGGGCTCCCTTGCAGCGCCCAGAAGCTTAAAAACTCTGAGCCTCTGGGCTTTTGGCCCGCCAGAAGACGCATGCCTGGAGGATAAACCCTGAACCCTGGTTTCTGTTGCACTCTCCACCCTTGGCTTGACTCGCAACTTGCCTGAGAGCCTGAGGATGGTATTTCTCCTGCCTGACGCATCCTCTTCCACCCATCGTCCACCCACCGTCCCCCATCGCACCCCTCTCCCTCATCCCAACCCAAATCTCGTAAAACCCTCGTACAACCCTCTATCATCTCGACCCTAAGCCTGTGACCCTACTCTTAAACCCTGAAACCCGCCCTAACATAATCCCTTCCCTAAAGCGACTCTTGGTAGGGATTGCACTCACCCTTAGGTTGGCTGACGTGGCAGCCACGGTGGGTCGGCTCATGCTGACGGGGACGGCAGCCATTGGCTCCGCAAATTGCCGAGTCAGCGGGTCTAGGGTAGGGAGAGAGGGGAAATGGGGAAGGAGGAAACGCGGAAAGGGAAAAAGGGAGGATTGGGGGGGGGGGAGGAAACAGAAAGCGCGGAGAAGGGGGAGGGAAGGGGGAATAGGGGAGAATGGGGGGGAGGGAGGGAGGGGAGGGGAGGGGATTGGCGGAGAGATGGGACGGGCCTCGGGGGCGGGGCGCGGAGAGGATGCAGAAGGAAATGAGGCGCAAAGGGGAGGACGGGGGGAGAATAGGAGGAAAGGAAGAAGAGGAGAGGGCAGAGGGAATGCTAGAAGAAGGATTGGGAGAATGAGGGGAAAATAGTCATCGGGGGAGTGAGGATGATCGCCCTTGCGGAAGGGCGGCATTGCGAGATCGATTGCCCGTCAGATTCAACAAAAAGCCGCCAGATTCAACAGATTGGCCGTCAGATTGAACCGATTGCCGTCAGATTCAACCGAGTGCCGTCAGATTCAACTAATTGCCGTCAGATTCCGAGCGTTTCCGCCCTCTCGTTGCTCGACGGCTCAGCGAGGGTCATTACTAAGCAGAGAGGGGCGGACAGCCAGAGATTCCCTAAAAAGCGGTCGAAGGAACTTACACGTAGCGGATAGTGAGGCGAGGCCTGAGTCGAGAGAGAGAGATGGGGAGAGAGAATTGCGGTCGGATGCGAAGGCACGACACTGTGACGTACCGAGTGTCAAATGTGAGGATCATTGGTTGGCATCTTGGGCCTGGCCCAAATTCCCGAAATTGAGGTTCGATTCGAAACCGCGTTTTCCAGGCATGAATTTGTTCTCGTGTTCGGCTCCTGGTTTTGCTGACACGAGACATCGGAATGGCCTCACGCCTGCCAATTGTACCTCTCGTCAACAAGCCGAAATCTGTCTCGTGCATTGTTTCATTTTCGTTCCCCGGTCATTTCACTACGTCCCCAAAACGAGGCCTGAGGGCGTGTCCCCAAAAATCGCTTGACCGTTTCTGACACGCGGAGACATCCGACAGTACGCATTGTGAATTGATTTTGAAACCGATCCCGCTTTTGGAACAGGCCCGAAATGAAGGGTGCGGTTCAGGAGGACTCCACCAAGACCCGCAAAGGCATAGAGGCGGGTAACGGGGTCCCGCCATGTGTGTAAGAAATTTCCATTCCTTACTGAGTCGTACGCTAGCGCGTACACCAGAACTCCTCAACTTGTCACGTTCGGCCTCGTTTATCGGGCCCAAACCTTTCCCGAGTCGCGTTCGGCAATGTCGCCACATTGCCGAACCTACCCACGTTCCAAGGTTGTCGCCCTAGTACGCCAACCCCTACACAACCTCGTGCCCTCATTGCAATAGCGACGTTGTATTCTCACGTTATAGTACATTGACACTTCCTATTTCATAACAGCTGGTATCAGAGCCCGAACTTTCCAAGTACCTTCCGTTTTCCCGTTAAATTAGTTAAGGGTGGTCAGAGGGGATTAGCACGGCTGCACAGCAGTTGTCTTCGATCGTAAATATTTTTACGTCAACAACTACAGCGTGTGCGCTAGCTCCTGCCCCGTCCTGACCGCCATAGCCCCGGTAGACTCGACGGTTGAGGAACAGACGACCTCGACTGCTGCGAACTCTGCCCGGGAAACTGTAGACCTGCAAGCATTAATGGAGCAATTGAATAATTTGATAAGCGTCGTCAACAACCTCCGCGACGAGAACCAACGACTTCGCCAGGCGCAGGAACGGCGTTCAGAGGAGCCGGGCGACGATGCACGAAGCGAGGCGGGTGAACAGCAACCCGAAGATTGACTGGACGACGGGCGGCTGCAGCATCAAACTCGATGGGCTTCATCGCGAACTCCCGAAATGGACGGGGCCACGAATGAGAAGCACCCAAGTCCATGCGATAACTTTCAAGCGCGTGATAAAAGCGGGAGCTGCAGCGTACGCCGTCGATCTTCGCGAAGTGACGTCGCCGACAACACCCGAAGATATCGCGAAGCTGTGCGAAGCTGTCCCTCCGGATTTAGCGGACCTGATTCGGAAGTACCCCGAGAATTTCCCGGACGACCTGCCCGTTGGACTTCCCCCGAGCAGACCTGAAGACCACCAAATCGAGCTGGAACCAGGCGCCCAACCGACAGTACAGCGACAATTTCGGCTCAGCCAACCGGAACTGGACGAACAGCAGCAGCAGCTGGATTATCTTCTCACGAAGGGTTTTATTCGGCCCAGCACGTCCCCATACGCCGCCCCGATCCTGTTCACCCCGAAGAAGGATGGAGGATTCCGCATGTGCATCGACTACAGCGCGCTCAACAGGAACACAATCAAGTCGCGTTACCCGATCCCACGAGCTGACGACTTACTGGACCAGCTTCGCGGAGCCAAATTCTTCTCAAAGATCGATTTGCGAGGACGTTACCATAAGATTCGCGTCGTCGTCGAAGATTGTCACAAAACCGCTTTTCGAACCCGCTACGGCAGTTTCGAATACCCGGTGATGCCCTTTGGCCTCACGAACGCGCCCTCGATATTCCAGATGACCATGAACGGCGTTTTCAGGGAACTCTTGGATAAATGCGTGATTATCTACCTCGACGACATACTAATCTACAGCCGGAGCAGGGAGCAACACTTCAAGGATCTTGATGCAGTCTTCACGCTACTGCACAAGAATCGTCTCATCACGAAAGGGTCTAAGTGCGACTTTCTTAAGCAGGAGTTGGAGTTTTTGGGCAACGTCGTTTCCACCGAATGAGTGAAAATCGACCCCAATAAAATCAAGACAATATAGGACTGGAAGCCGTCGACCAACCTCAAGGAATGACATAGTTTTTTGGGTTTCGTCAACTACGTCCGCCGCTTTATACCCAATATGGCCGGGTTATCTGCCCCGCTAACAGACCGACTGAAGGATCACGATTGTTTTTGGTGGGGAGAGAAGCAGCAAGCTGCATTCGACCAACTGAAGATCGCCCTCACATCGCCGCCCCTCCTTCGCATCTCCGATCCTGACCATCCATACGAAGTCATCACCAACGCCAGCGACATCGCCATCGGCGCAGTTCTCCTACAGGACTTCGGCGACGGGTTACAGCCAGTCGCCTACGAATCACGGAAGCTGCATGGCGCGGAGAAAAATTATACAGTCCACGACAAGGAAATGCTGGCGATCGTCCACGCGTTCAAGACCTGGCGGTGCTACCTGACAGGCGCTGACGTCACGGTGCAAACTGACCACAAATCCTTACAGTACCTGCAAGCCCAACCGAACCTCAACCCGCGACGGATCCGATGGCTCGATTTCCTCGAGTCGAATTTCCATTATACCATCACCTACAAACGGGGTGCCAACAATATTGCCGATGCCCTGACCCGACCCACTGCCCATACAGCCGCCATACTAGTCGCCCAGACAAGCCCATTACTTACCGGACTATTTACTCACGGCTACAGAATCGACCCTTTCTTCCGCTCTGCCATTCATCAACAGCATACCACCGCCACCGGACACTATTTTAATAAGCGCGATACTTCTCGCATCTAGGTACCCGGCTACGATTTACTTCGTACCCTTCTAATCCAGGAATCCCACGACAACCCTACCTCCGGACATTTCGGAGTCGACAAAACTATGAAAACGCTGCAGCGCAATTATTGTTGGCCGAACATGGCCGACGACGTGCGCAAGTACGTGTCCTCCTGCACCGCCTGCCAAATCATGAAGTCCTCCCATCAGTGAGCACCCGGACTCCTACAGCCGTTGGATCCGCCCGAGCGAACATGGCAATATATTACGATGGACTACATGACTGGATTGCCAGCCGGTTCCAGCAGAACGACGCCATCCTCGTGGTCGTTGACCGACTCACGAAAATGGCGCACTTCATCGTCTGCCAACAGACAATTACAGCCGAGCAAACTGCCCAACTGTTCATCGCCAACGTCATTCGACTGCACGAACTGCCCACCGCAATTATTTCAGACCGAGACCCGAAATTCACATCGAATTTCTGGCGCCACCTGTGGGACCAGTTCGGCACCAAACTCCACTTTTCCTCCGCCTACCACCCACAGACCGACGGGCAAACCGAACGAGTCAACCAAACTATGGAGCAGCTCATTCAAACTACATGTACCGACCCACAGACATGGGAGAAATCCCTTCCGCTGCTGGAATTCGCGTATAACAACGCGCCCTCCGCGACAACCCATCAGCCCCCATTTTTCCTTAATTACGGACAGGATCCAGTGTTACCCTCTACCCCGAACATCGAGACACCCGTGCCCCAGTCCCAGAAATTTGCTGAAGGCATTCTCAACGCCCGAGAAATATCAGCTGAAGCCATCAGGAAAGCCAACCTGGTCGCAAGCCGACAAGCCGATCGCCATCGACGTGACGTCACTTACAAAGTGGGCAATCTCGTCCTTCTCGACACTCGCAATTTGCGGTTGCCGATCCTGAGCAAGCTCGGACCCAGATTTCGCGGACCTTTTCCCGTGACGAATATGGTGACACCTGTCACTGCTCACCTCCGACTCCCGACTGACTGGCGTCACCACCCGGCTTTCCACGTCAGCCTCTTACGGCCCTACGTCCCCAGTTCGTCAGACTTGGCGCGACAACGCGCTGTACCGCAACTGACGCCTCTCCAAGAACCGACAACCGAGCCTTTGAAAATTCTCGGCCATCGAGTCACGACGCAGTTGAACCGTCGGATGGTTGATTTTCTTGTCTGCTGGTGTGATCGCACATCAAAAGATGACAGCTGGGTGCCGCTCGCTGAGCTAGAATCACACCCGAATCTAACAGCGTATTATCAGCGTCGGAACGTTTCCGATGCCCGCGGTCTCGTTTAGGAGGGGGGGGTAGTGTAAGGAATTTCCATTCCTTACTGAGTCGTACACTAGCGCATATGCCCGAACTCCTCGACTCGTCACGTTCGGCCTTGTTTACCAGGCCCAACCCTTTCCCGAGTCGCGTCCGGCACTGTCGCCACAATGCCAAACCTACCCACGTTCCAAGGTTATCGCCCTAGTACGCCAACCCCTATATAACCTCGTGCCCTCATTGCAATAGCGACATTGTATTCTCATGTTATAATACATTGACACTTCGTATTTCATAACAATGTGAAACCAGCGCAACAATGCAACAGGCGCGATTGTCAAAAAGGGGGCCAATTGGCGCAGCGGGGCTGTTCGCTAGTGTGCTGCGGGGCTGCTAAGTTTCGCGCGAAATTTTTGCAAGAGTTGGTGCTGGTATTGGATGGCGAATTGGATTTTTGTGGTGAACTCTTTCTTTGTCGTGCGGAGATACCTAGAAACGTGCGCTGGTGTCCACCGATTACATGAATTCGCCAGTCGGCCGGTAGTTGCAGCTAGGCGGTGTCTGGTGTCACCATGTGGATGATGCGGAATGGGCCGCAAAATCTTGGTCGTAATTTATTCGGGAGGGGAATCCCCAAATTTCTGATGTCGAGCAGGACAAATTGCCCAGGCGCAAGAGTTAAGTCTCGGCGTCGTCGGTCATCTTGCTGCTTAGCCCGTTGGTTGGCTCTGAGGATGCCATCGGCGGCATTTTGCTGAGACTGTTGGAGATTTTCGACGAACTGCTGCGACCTTGGTACCGGATTTTAGGTAATAATCCCCTTGCGTGACCGTCAGTTGGGGACGACTGTTAGTGGTGAAGAATGGATTAGTACTGTATCAATGGATGAATATGCCAGTCAGCAGCGGATTAGCTTGGGTAATTAGGACTGCGGCGATATGGACTGAATGGCAGGTCAGTGCGTCGGCGATGTTGCTAACCCCCTGTTTGTAGGTGACTATGTAGTGGAAGTTTGACTCGAGGAAATCGAGCCAACGAATCTGTCAGGGATTTAGAGTCGGTTGGGCACGGATGAACTGTAGCGATTTGTGGTCTGTTCGGACTGTCACGTCAGCGCCCGTCAGGTAGCAGCGCCAGACCTTGAAAGCGTGAACGATGGCGAGTAACTCTTTGTCGTGGACAGGATAATTTCGCTCGGCCGGGTTCAGCTTTCGTGACTCGTAGGCGATGAGTTGAAGGCCTTCGCCGAAGTCTTGTAACAGTACTGCACCAATAGCCAGGTCGCTAGCGTCGGTGATGAGCTCGTATGGACGGTGAGGATCTGCAATTCGAAGAACCGGAGGTGTAGTTAGGAAAAGTTTGAGCTGTTCAAACATAGCCTGCTGCTCTCCCTCCCACTCATAATACTTGCCTTTCTTCAGGAGATCCGTGAGAGGGGAAGTTACCCCCGCCATGTTCGGAATGAACCGGCGAACGTAATTCCCAAACCCCAGGAAACTTTGAAGTTCTCGGAGATTAGTCGGGGGCTTCCAGTCTTGGATGGTCGCAATCTTCTTAGGGTCGATTTTAACACCATCGATGGAAATGACGTCTCCCAAGAACTCCAGTTCTTGTTTCAGAAACTCGCACTTAGATCCCGTGGTTATGAGTCGGTGCTGCTGGAGGAGAGAGAAAATGGCTTCCAAATCCATCAAATGTTGCTCCCGGGTAGTGTTGAAGATCAGGATGTCGTCGAGGAACACGATGATGCATTTATCCAGCAGCGGCCGAAAAACTTCGTGCATTGTTAACTGGAAGTTTGAAGGCGCTTTTGTTAAGCCAAATGGCATAACCGTGTACTCGTAACTCCCGTACCAGGCCCAAAACGCCGTCTTGTAGCAGTCAGCTTCGAGCACGCGGATATTATGGTAACCTCTTCGCAAGTCAATTTTCGAAAATAACTTGGCTCCACGAAGTTGGTCGATGAGTTCGTCGGCACGCGGGATTGGGGTAGCGGGACTTTATGGTAACCCGATTCAAGGCGCGGTAGTCAATACACATTCATAGACTGCCATCTTTCTTCGAGTTGAACAGGATCGAGGCTGCAAACGGGGAAGTGCTTGGGCGAACGGAACCTTTCTCGAGCAGGTAGTCCAACTAGCATCGAAGTTCATCCAGCTCGGGCTGAGTCAGCCTCCATTGAGTCCGAACATTCGGTTGCGCGCCGGGCTCCAACTCGATTTTGTGATCGTGGTCTCGCTCAGGTAACAAACCCACCGGTAGGTCGTCGGAAAAAATGTCGCGTGCTTGCGAATCAACGTTGCCAAATCGTTCGGGACAGCTGCGCAGAGTTTGTCTATGTCGGCTGGTGTGTCGACAGCCGTGGATGCAATCCATCGGACAGCGTACAGTTGTGCCCCGCGAATCATAGTTCGCTTGATCGTAACCGTGCTGACCGTCGATGCCGTCGAATCTTGACAGCTCGATTTGGGAAGTCGTCGCCACTCGCCACTCCATTTGATGCGATAGTCACTCGTCCGCCAGTCAATGTTCGGGTTGTATTCGCGCAGCCAATCGCGTCCCAACAGCATATCGCAGCCGTCCAAAGTTGTCGCCAGCATCTTCGTCGTGAAGGTGAAATTTTCGCCGCATGTTACTCGCACGTGAGGTACTCGCTCCCAAATTGCCAGTAGTGTATCGTCGACCAATCTTGCGTCGGTTTCAGGCATTCAGCGCTCCAGTTGCAATCGCAATTTTTTTGGCCTTCGTCACATCCATCAAACTATGGCTCGCCCCGCCATCAACGAATATTTTGATGCGGGTGTCGCCAACTCTTCCTTCAACCAGCACAGGGTGATCAACCGGTTCACCCCCCTTATTCAGCCAAGAATAGTCGATAGCCCAAATCGGCACTATAACCTGGTGGGGGTGGTGGCATTTGGGCGACGCAGTCAAGTCACTCGGTGGCCCATCTGCTGCTGACGATCTCTATTTCCCGACTGCTTCTTATCGTTAGGTAAGTTCTTCTTCAGTTGCGGGCAGTCCCTCACCATGTGACCCGGCTGGTTGCACTGGAAGCAAGTCCCCGAAAATACTCGGGCTGCAAACACGTCCACGCCGTTGATTGATGTGTGTTGGGGCTAGCCTCGAAAGCGATTTCCCTCCTAGAAACCCGCTCTCACAAGTCCACGTCGTGCGTCCAGCGCATCTGCTATGCGAACGATCTCATTGAAGGTCGTCGAGGCTCGCAGGACAATCTCTTGCTGAATCTCCGACTTGAGACCACCCATGTAGCGATCGATTTTCTCATCTTCGCTAATCCCTCCGATTTGGTCGCAGATTGCCAGAAACGACACCGTGTATTCTTGGACAGAGCCCAACTGTCTCCACATTCGAAGCTTTGTGCGAGCATTTTCGCGCATGGATATGTGCTCGAATCTGCCCTTCAACGCTTCACCCCACGCTTTCCACGTGTGGATCGTGGCCGATCCAAAGATTGGTTCTGCCTTCGCCATTGATGAACTCAGCTCCCCATCTGCCGCCCGTTGATTCCCTGCCGAGGCTCCTCCCTCGTCTAGATGCATGCGCCACCAGTCGAGTGCCGGTCCCCTCAGCAGCGACACAGCCAAGTTGACACATGATGCATTGTCATTAATACTTGCTGCCGTGACGAAGATTTCCATGGCGAACAGCCACCCGCTCACTGTTGTTGTCCTGTCGGTTGGGTTGAACGGTGGGGGCATCGGAGGCTTGATTTTAATGGCCGCCTGCGGCTCGCTGTGGACTTCTTCAACTGCTTCAGGTGTCGCCGACGCCCTCGCTTCGCTCGCATCATCTTCATCTCGGGTAATAGGCCGCCACTGACGCGTTTCACCCCGCGTCTGGCGAAGCGACGAGTTTTCGTTGCGCAGCATCTGAACTTTCTTCTCAGCGACTCGAACTTGTCCGCGAGTTGTTGAAGCTGGGCCAGCAGAATCGTCGTTGTAGCCGCCCTGGCTTGCAACTCATCAAATTCATCCTGAGTCACGTTCCTAACACTACGACGGGCAGAGGTTTCCGGCGTGCTAGTCATGCTGGAAATTTTACCTGACAGATCTGAGGGTGCACACGCTTTTAGTTGGAGGAGCTTTGACGAGCTCGCCTACCAACCGCTCGCCAACCCTCTATTTTGTCGGGTCCTCTCCCGATATAATCGGACTACTCTACGGAAGACTAAGCGGGCAGGAACGGGGCTCTGATACCAGCTGTTATGAATTAATCATAGTAATTACAGGTAGTATAATAAAGGAGTCGTGATTCAAGATTGTTGATAAAAATGAGAGGCATTCATAGGAACAAACAGAGCTAGCCGAGAACCACGCGAACAGGTTGGGGCGATCGGTTGGCGAAAGCCACGGAAGCGCTGCGCGTCAAGGTTTGGGTTCGCGATGTGGTTCGGGACCGAAGAAGTTGGCCGAGCCTGGACTTTCGAGAGTCGATGGCGTACGCGCTGTAGTCGAGCCCAGTAAGAGAAAGGGAATCTCCGCATCATTTTGTTGCCACACGTCTTAGGTCTTTCAAGCCTTGATTGTATGCATTGTGCCTAACTATATTCTGGTGTAGGGTTGTTGTGATGTCGTACAGTGGCGGAAAAATTTGTCCGGATGTTTAGTCATTTTTTGCATTTTGATGAGTGGAGCTTCGTAAACATTAAGCCTTAATTCATGGTGTGCATACGCGTTGAGAAGATCAGTTAGAGCACTTATTCAAGTCTCCAAAAACTAGAGTAGTACAGTACATGGTCCTTAAACACCTAAGCATTTCATAAGAGCACATCCGGACAATTTGTACTGGGGACATGCAGCAAACTAGAAACATGAAAAACTAGTACCTAGTCCAGCGTCCCTTTGCGCGAATCACTGCCTTGATCCTCCGCGGCATACTGTCGATGAAGTTTGAGCACACCTCCACTGGTATCTTGTCCCATTCCTCCTGCACCCTCTCCCACAGTTCCAACATTCCACTAGGTGGTTTTTCGTACTTCGTCAACTCCCCTTTCAAGTATGCCCACATGTGCTCTATCGAGTTAAGGTTCGGGGAGGACGAGGGCCAGGATACGTTTGAAACAAAACTCGACAACCTTGTAACAGGACCGGAAAAAAATGGTGTTACATGGTGTAACATGTGTTGCATAGCGATAAGTTTCAAAGTGCTAGACATCCGGGCAATTTTTTCCGCCACTGTATATTGGATTCCATTCCTCGAGAATACCAACTTTTGATTCTAGTTGTTTGCGCTACACAAGTCTTGTTTGTCTGAGCTAGCGGCCATTCGGCCGATGTTTTTTCCCGCTGAGATAAGCATTTTCTCATAAGCTTGCGTTACTGCACATCAGTTGTCCTATACAAAATACCTGCAACTAGGATTGAGTTCGCAGCACCAGCGTGCCGACACCCACCCAAAAAAAGCCATGGTGGGGTCTTCAACGTCATTGCAAATGCTGCTGAGAAGCGATTGGTAGCACTATCCGAGTTGCGACTCTTAAACGTCATCATGCAGTGAGACTTGGAGCAGCTACGAGCCGAACGATATCGCCAAGAGCGTTGAAATCTTCTGAGTAAACGTGGATCGCGATGTCCATAATGTCAAACATATCTTTGCATCTTCTTATAGACTACATAGGGTTGTGCCTTAGAGAGTACAACCCACTAGGTTATATTCCCTTGTATCCCACCTTTCTAGTCATTTTCGTTAACTTTGTTATCGTATCATGAGTAGGTTAGGTCCCCCCCGCCCGCTAGCGCTTCCGCCCTAGGTCCTAGCCACCCCGTTCCCCTCCCACCCATGCTGACCCGTCCCCTAGTGGCCCTCCCCCCCCGTCGCTTAGCCGGCCCCATCGCCTAGCCGGCCCCGTCTCCTAGCCGGCCCCGTCGCCCAGCCGGCCCCATCGCCTAGCCGGCCCCGCCTCCTAGCCGACCCCGTCGCCCCGGGCCCTGTCACTCAGCCGGCCCCGCCTCCTAGCCGACCCCATCGCATAGCCGACCCTGTTGCCCAGCCGGCCCCGTCGCCTAGTCGGCCCCGTCGCCCAGCCGGCCCCGTCGCATAGCCGGCCCTGTCGCCTAGCCGGCCCCGTCGCCTCACCAACCCCATCGCCCAGCCGGCCCCGCCTCCTAGCCGACCCCGTCGCCCCGGGCCCTGTCACTCAGCCGGCCCCGACTTTTAGCCGACACCATCGCCTAGTCGGCCCCGTCGCCCAGCCGGCCCCGTCGCCTAGCCGGCCCCGTCGCCTAACCGACCCCACCTCCTAGCTGACCCCCTCGCCCCGGGCCCCGTCGCTCAGCCGGCCCTGCCTCCTATCCGGCCTCATCACCTAGCCGGCCCTGTCGCCCAGCCGGCCCCGTCGCCTAGTCGGCCCCGTTGCCCAGCCGGCCCCGTCGCATAGCCAGTCCCGTCGGCACGGCACTACACCGAATTGCACCGCACTGCACCGCACCCTACCGTACTGCACCTCCCTCTACCGCCGTCTACCGCATTGAACCGCACCGCACCGCGCTCCACTGCTTTCAGCAGCACTCTGTCGCTCAGTACAGCTCAATCCCAGCTTTCTGCTGCTGCAGCGACCATGATGGCAGACTCGGTCCTGCGCTTTGATGCGGAGGGGCAGCCGGTTGAGTTCGACGCGTGGCTCGTCGACCTCTGCCGCCACCTGACTGGTCAGCGGCAAGACGGCCACTCCCTGGCCGTCCACTTCAACGGTACACTCCCCTGCTCTGACCCCCCTGCTGCCCTACCCGCTGACCTCACGTCTGCTGACCGTGAGTCCGCTGCCGCTGCTGCCCTTGCTCGTGCTGTCTGGTTGTCGTGTGACATTGTCTCACAGCTCGTGATTAGTCATGCCCTCCCCCTGTCCAAGCGCCCCCGCTTTAGGTCAGTCAGGACTACGCAGGATTTCCTAGAGGCTGTTGTCGCGCGCTATTCCACCCCGCCCTATGCCTCCGTCGGTCGCCTGATCCTGCCCATGCTCTTTCCTGATCTCGCGTCTTTCCCTACTGTTGCTGACATGGCCGCCCACCTGCGCACGCTAGACACGACCTGGCGCGCTGCCTACACTGAGGCCCAGCTTCGTGTATTTCAGCCCCCCATCTGCTCTACCCTCTACCTGCTTGCCACCCGCCTCCCTGGCCGTCTTGCCACC